TTTCTCGTTGCTGTTCATCCAAGGCAGGATAAAAGGGGGGAGGGACCGCAGTTGGAGTGTTCTCCAAGGTGGGAAGGATGATGAAGAGTGACCAGAGCTCAAGCAAAGGTCTCTCTAACCAGGACACAGTCCCGCAGCACCCAAAAATTGGGGCAGAGGTGATCATTGTAACATGCACCGATCACTCTCGATGCGGCAGCACCAGGATGCACACAAGGAAGAGCAGAGGATGGGGCAACCACGCAAGTTCCAAGCTACAGCCAGCAGTTAGGATCAGAGATGGATCCAGAGGTTGATCCCCCCCACCCTCAACAAGAATCAAAAAAAGTTCTGGGTGTGTTGGGCTGAGCTTAAATACAGCTCCTGGGCCAATGAGGAGAGGGTGGAGGTCCCAGGTGTGGCCAATCAGGGCAATCAAGGCTCATTAATGCCATAAGATCTCAAGTATTTGATGCCCAGCAGTAATGTTGAGGGTCAGCACTTGTGTCTGGAGGAGTAGATGGCCTCTTGGTGTCTTCGTGAGGGTGTGCCTATTTGTAACGGCTGGACAAAGCTTCTTTTGGTTCCCTTGCAACAAACTTTTAGGTTATGGGTGTTAAATGGAGATATTGGAGTGCCTCTTGGCAGGAAAGGGTCTGTCTCCCCCTGTCTTCTTCGTGTTTTAGTTCTGACTTGCATTTCCCCCCCCCTTCCACTTCCCAAAAGACACAAATGGGACAGTGCAGGTGGAGCTGCGGGTCACCAACCGGGAGTACAGTGAAGACCTTAAAAACTCCAGCTCTCCTGCCTACCTGGAGTTTGTTAAGGACTTCACGGAGCAGGTAAAGGAACACGGGGATGGGGTTGACTCCACCTTGGGTCATGGTGTGCCTGATTGCACATCCAAAGGCATCTCGTGGGTGCTGCAAGTGCTGGGGGGGTGGTGGTGGTGGTGTCTCCACGTGATCTTCTGCGGGTACATTGGGATGTCTTTGATGGGGGGGGCATCTCAAACAAGGGAGGTGCAGGAGGAGAGGAAGGGAATGGGCCCCTGACAACCCTCCTGGAGACCTTTTCTCTTCCAGATGAACACAGTCTACAGCAACATTGAGGGCTACAGGGGCATCCAGATCCAGAGTCTGACGTGAGTGTGGGGCTGCTGGTCAATAGGGAGGGGGTATCGGGGTGCACCAACTGGCTCCTGCTCCCCAGGAGCTGGGGTAATCCCTTGGGAAGAGGGGCACTTGTGACAAGATGGTGGCTTTTCCCACCAGGCCTGGCAGCATTGTTGTGAACCACATCGTCATCTTCTCCCTGATGGTCACCACCCAAACCCAGGAAAAGTTCCAGAACATCACGACAGACCTGAAGGAAAAGATTCACGTGGCAGTGGCGCAGAACTGCACAGATGGTACTTATGAGTCTCCCAGGAAAAGGGGACGGTGAGGAGTTGGGCAACCCATGGGGGGGGACAACTTCCCACCCACCCGAAACCTCACGGCCACCCCTGAGATTGGGCTGTGGGGCACATCCCCCCATGTAACCTCTTTTGCAGACAAGCTGTGCTTCAACTCCTCTGACGTGGTGGTCGCCAACACTTCGCTCAGCTTCGACCCGGAGGGTGAGTAGATGGGGGTGTCCCGATGGCAGGGGGGCGGAACGCAGCCAAGTTGGGGGCGGCCGGAATTTCCCCTCAACTGACCTCTCTTCCTTCTCCAGCCTACTGCCAGAATAAGGTGCCGGAGGGCTACGCGGACTATTTCTTTCCCAATGTGACGAGCTCTGGTTTCTTCTGCATATCCAACTGCACCCCGCACACCGTCGGCACCATCAACTGCAACAACGGGCAGTGTCAGCTCACCAAGAGTGGTCCACAGTGCTTGTAAGGGCTTGTGGTAAAACCATTGCTCACCTCCAAAACCAACGCATGTGCACCCAACCCTTCTGGTGCACCTCCGTGCCCATCTCCAAGCCCATCTCTCCATGGAAATGGGTCCAAAACCCCTGATTTGGAGCAGGTTCTTGCTCCAAGCAGAACTTGAGATTGCAAGAATGGGTTGGGGGGTTGCTTCTGGAGGTCCCAGCGTTGCGTTCACCCCTCTGTCCCCTCCCTACAGCTGCCACGAGACCAATATGTACTGGTACCAAGACAACCACTGCAAGAACCGGGTCAGCAAGCTGGCGGTGGGGTTGGGCTTGGCCGTGGCAATTCTAGCCGTGACGGTCGCTGTCCTCGCCGTCTTCCTCTTCCGAGCTCGGAACAACACGATGAATTACAGGTGATGGGAGAGAGGAGGTGGTG